GCGGGGGGCGCCGCCGCCCCTGCCGCGGCCTTCGCCGCGACCGCCGCCGCCGCCCTCGCCTCCAATGCCGCCGCTGGCGCCGCCGCCGTCGCCGTCGCTGCAGCCGCAGCTGTCGCCGTCGCGGCCGCCGCCGCCGCCGCCGCCGCCATCGTCGTCGTCGTTGTCGTCGTCGATGCTCGCCGCCGTGGCCGCCGCCAGCCACCGCGGGAGCCGCGCGCCCAGCCGAAGTCCGCGAGCTTGAGGTGTGGCGGCGCCCGCATCCGCCCCGCCTGCGGAGCGGGGTGGGGAACGGACTGGGGGGGACCGGCCAGGGGGGGAGAACATCGAGCTTCGAGATTCGAGCTTCCAGGTTATCGGACGGTTTCGGCAGCTCCCAGCGATGCCTTCCAGCAGCTGCGCCTCGCCGAGAGCGTTCCAAGGGGTGTCCGGATCGTCCCGACTGGCTGCCGGAAAGTCGAACTATGACCGAATCGCCAGCGGGGACCTGCTCAGGGGGCTAAACATCGAGCTGGAATCGGCGATACATCGTCGATCGATCAGCGACAGGGCTCCGATAGCGAATTCGCAGTTCTGGGCACAGTCAGGCAAAGCGGCCCCTATCGGAGGCGACTAGGCGACTGGGGGAAGATGCATCCCCCCTTATGAGCCTGATTATCCCCCCTGGCGTTCCCTGGGGTAGAACAATAATGTAGTCACGATGCGATTGGCTCAGGATGCGTCCCAGGAGTTCCAGAGTAATGATGATGCTGATGATGATGATGATGATGATCATCATCATCATCATCATGATAAACATCATTACCATCATCAACATCATCATCAGCCCCATCATTATCATCATCAGCATTAATATCATCATCAACAGCATTATCATCAGCATCACCATCATCAACATCATCATCACCATCATCATCAACATCATGACCGCCATCGTCATCATCATGATGATCATGAGCATGAGCATGAGCATGAGCATGAGCATGATCCTGATCATCATGATCATCATGATCATCATGATCATGATCATGATCATGATCATGATCATGATCATGATCATCATCATCATCATCATTATCAGTACAGCTATGAGAGAGCGCGCCCGTGGCGCACCCAGCGATGAGGCGGGGGGAGGTGGGATGAGGACCCGGCTCCCAGGTCACCCAGTGTCGCGCGCCAAGCCCCCGCGACTCGCGACGCGTGGCTCTATCTTCGCGCCCTCGCAGGGGCAACTCTCTATGGCCCGGGCCGCGGCGCGCGACACGCGATCACCTTCGCGCCCCTGCAGGGGCGTCGTGAGGCTCGAGGCTCGGGAATCGATGGGGGAGGAGGGGATCGGGAGATGGGCCTCTTCACGCTGCTCCCTCCTTCCTCCCTGCTCCGCGCACGCTCCCATGCGCGCAGTCATTCTCCCTTTCCCGCAGCGCGCGCGGGACGGGGAGGGAAGAGGGAGGATGGGGGAGGGAGGATGATCGCTGTTCGAAGATCGTAGTGGATTTGGGGCGTTCTTTGGTGTGTGTGTGCGTGTGTGTGCGCGTGTGCGTGTGCGTGTGCGTGTGCGTGCGCGTGTGTGTGTGGGCGTGCGCGTGTGTGTGTGTGTGTGCGTGTGTGTGCGTGTGCGTGTGTGAGGTGTGTGTGTGTGTGTGTGTGCGTGTGTGTGCGTGCGTGTGTGTGTGTGTGTGTGTGTGTGTGTGCGTGCGTGCGTGCGTATGTGTGTGTGTGTGTGTGTGTGCGTGTGCGTGCGTGCGTGCGTGCGTGCGTGCGTGCGTGCGTGCGTGCGTGCGTGCGTGCGTGTGTGTGTGTGTGTGTGTGTGTGCGGTGTGTGCGTGTGTGCGTGTGTGTGTGTGTGCCTGCGCGTGTGGGAGGAGCGAAGCCGAAAGAGAGAGGGATGACTGGCAGCCATGCTCCTTCCGCATGCCTCCAGAGGCCCTCTTCAATCCTCGACCCCCTCGATGACGTCGACGGCGACCACGACGCCAGCGGCGGAGCCTCCGTCCCTCTCTTGCAGGCCCCCGGGAGGCCTCCGGAGGCCGGCAACAGAGCACAAAAGCTCCAAAGAGACCCATGTTCTCGAGGACGGCCTTCGGGTCATGACAGCTCGGCTCTCTTCGGCTACACGCAAGAAAGGCCCTAGGCCAGAATGACCTTTGGTGCGCGGTCACACGGAGGACGCGGGGTGGCCAAACCTGGGCGCGCAAGCCGCTGCTACCGCTTCGCATTCGGCGATCGCGGGACCCCATTGGGTCTGCATCAAAGGTCACTCCCATCAAGAGTACGACAAGTTCGCGTCGTGTCGACCCCGGCTTTCGTTCCTGACACCGCGGGGATCGGTCTAGCTTGAGCGACCGGCCGTTCCATCAACGCCAGATCGTTCAATGACGGGCCTGTTCCGGGCCACGGGCGGCGTTCAACCTTGAACGCACGCGCTGGGGTCGCCGCTGGTCGACACAACGCGAACCTGCCGTGCCATTACGTCTAGTCTTAAGTCGGGCCTGTCCTCCTACAGGGGGATTATGGATGAAAATACAAAATGATCAAACAATGCTCCCAAATAGCCAAAAACATTACAACAAAATCGTCACCTGATTATTTCCCCACGTGTTTAGTGGGGTTCTGGTTTTCTTCCCTGCCTCGTCGCACCCGCGGCCCTCACACCCCACACCCGCGGCCCTCACACCCCACTTTCCTCCTCCTTTTCCTTCTCACACAGCGCAGCACAGTTCAGCACAGCACAGCTTAGCTCAGCACAGCTCAGCACTGCACCTCAGCACAGCACAGCTTAGCTCAGCACAGCAAGCGCACCACAACGCAGCAGAGCACAGCACAGCACAGCTCAACACAGCACACCACACAGCACATTGACACACAGCACGTACACAGCACAGCACAGCCCATCTCAACACAGCACAGCAGTGCACAGCACAGCACAGCACGTCAGCACAGTAGACCTCAACACTACACAGCACAACGCCTCTGGACACCATAGGGGGTGCGCAGCAAGTGGTCTCTGAGCGCGGCCGCTATCCACGACACTGTCGAAAAACACAAAACAGGCGTGGCACTTTCAAGACACCATAGGGGGTGCGCAGGGGGGGGTCTCTCAGCGCGGCCGCCATCCACGACACTGTCGCAAAGCCTCGCAGGCGTGGCACTTTCTGGACAGCGCAGGGGTGGTCTCCCAGCGCGGCCGCTATCCACGACACTGTCGCAACGCCTGGCAGGCGTGGCAATTCCTGGACACCATAAGGGGTGCGCTGGGGGTGGTCTCTCAGCGCGGCCGCTTTCCACGAGGCTGTCGCAAAGCCTCGCAGGCGTGGCACTTTCTGGACACCATATGGGGGGCGGCCGCTATCCACGCGACTGTCGCAAAGCCTCGCAAGCGTGACACCTTCTGGACACCATAGGAGGTGCGCAGGGGGTGGTCTCTCAGCGCGGCCGCTATCCACGACACTGTCGCAAAGCCTAACAGGCGTGGCACTTTCTGGATACCATAGGGGGTGCGCAGGAGGTGGTCTCTCAGCGCGGCCGCTACCCACGAGGCTGTCGCAAAGCCTAGGAGGCGTGGCTCTTTCTGGGTTTCTCAGCGCGGCCGCTATCCACGAGACTGTCGCAACGCCTGGCAGGCGTGGCACTTTCTCGACCCTTTAGGGGGTGCGCTGGGGGTGGTCTCTCAGCGCGGCCGCTATCCACGACACTGTCGCACAGCCTGGCAAGCGTGGCACTTTCTGGACACCATATGGGGTGCGCAGGGGTGGTCTCTGAGCGCGGCCGCTATCCACGACACCGTCGCAAAATCCTCGCAGGCGTGGCGCTTTCAAGACAGCATGAGGGGGTGCGCAGGGGGTGGTCTCTCAGCGCGGCCGCTACCCACGAGGCTGTCGCAAAGCCTAGCAGGCGTGGCACCTTCTGGACACCATAGGGGGTGCGCAGGGGGTGGTCTCTCAGCGCGGCCGCTGTCCACGACACTGTCGCAAAGACTAGCAGGCGTGGCACTTTCTGGACACCATAGGGGGTGCGCAGCAAGTGGTCTCTGAGCGCGGCCGCTATCCACGACACTGTCGAAAAAAACACAAAACAGGCGTGGCACTTTCTGGACACCATAGGGGGTGCGCAGGGGGTGGTCTCTCAGCGCGGCCGCTATCCACGAGGCTGTCGCACAGCCTGGCAGGCGTGGCACTTTCTGGACACCATAGGGGGTGCGCTGGGGGTGGTCTCTCAGCGCGGCCGCTACCCACGAGGCTGTCGCAAAGCCTAGCAGGCGTGGCACTTTCTGGGCACCATAAGGGGGGGCGCAGGGGGTGGTCTCTCAGCGCGGCCGCTATCCACGACACTGTCGCAAAGCTTTGCAGGCGTGGTACTTTCTGGACACCACAAAGGGTGCGCAGGGGGTCTCTCAGTCCACGACACTGCCGCACAACTTTGCAAGGTTGTATTTTTTTGGACGCCACGGGGGTGCGCTGGGGGTGCGGTCGATATCCTTTTCGGGCTCGCAGCTTGTGGCAGACGTTGCATTTTCTGGACGCCATAGGGGGTGCGCTGGGGGTGCGGCCGCTACCCGTTTCGGCCACGCAAAGCGTGGCAGGCGTGACACTTCCTCGACGCCACAAGGGGGTGCGCTGAGGGTACGGTCGCTATCCGTTTCGGGCTCGCAACGCGTGGCAAGCGCGGTACTTTCTCGATGCCACAAGGGGGTGCGCCGGGGGTGCGGTCGCTATCCGTTTCGGCTTCGCAAAGCGTTGGCAAGCGTGGCACTTTCTCGATGCCGCAGGGGGTGCGCCGGGGGTGCGGTCGCTATCCGTTCCAGGCTCGCAAAGCGTGGCAGGCGTGGCAACTTCTCGACGCCGAAAAGAGTACTGTGGGGGTGCGGTCGCTATCCGTTTCGGGCTCGCAAAGCGTGGCATGCGTGACCTTCTTCGGCGCCACAAAGGGGTGCGCTGGGGGTACGGTCGCCGTCCGTTTCGGGCTCGCAACGCGTGGCAGGCGCGGTGCTTTCTCGATGCCGCAGGGGGTGCGCCGGGGGTGCGGTTGCTATCCGTTTCGGTTTCGCAAAGTGTGGCTGGCGCGGCGCTTCTCCTGTTCCACCTCTCCTCTTGAGTGGCGTCACCAACGGTCGGTATCGGCGGGGCAGCGGCCACCAACATCATTTTCACATGCTTCAGTTCAGCTGCCATCACTCCAGCCATACTATAAGTATGTGGGGTTCCTCGGTCGCCGTTTTTTTGTATGTTTGAACATTCTTCCTGTAGAGGGACACGCCCGACTCAAGTCTAGTCGACCTCTGGCGGCCGCTGGGAACGACATATGCGCCCCAAGGGAGCGCCCCCGGCGCTGCTCGCAGCTGCCGTCGAGCACCCCGAGGGCTGGAGAAGCCGTCGAGGGCCCACGGAGACGGCCGAACACATCTGAGCAACGATCCAAAGCAGGTCTTACAGTGGAGACCCATGCCAAGAAACACCCAGCTTCCTCGCAGGGTGACCTGGGTTTCTTCTTCGGCTTCGACGGTCTTGAGGTGGAGAGCGCGACGTTCCCACACCAAAAAATCAATGGACGTCCTGGGGTCTCAGGGTTGGGTTTCTTGTGGAAGGCTTCTTGCGGACTGGCCTCCACTGTACGCGAGATGACGCAGGGACCTTACGCCGCAGCTTACGCGGGCCGCCAGCGCGGCACGCTGCGCTGGAGACGAGGGCGCTTGCGCGCGAGCTGACGCAGGCAGCTTGTGCACGAATGTCGGCGCGGACGACCCCCTTTGTTTGCATCGCTCATCGGGAGCCTCGAGCCCCGAAAGAGCCGACGACGACGCCCGAAGGCAGAGCCGACGCCCGACGCCAAGCGCCTACGACCCACGCCCGACGACGGCGACGCCGACGATGAAGACGACGGCGGCGGCGACGGCGACGACGGCGACTGTCGACGGCGGCGACGACGACGACGATGACGATGACGACGACGACGGCGACGACGGCGACGGCGGCGACGGCGACGGTGACGACGACAACGACGGCGACGACGACGACGGCGACGGCGACGGCGGCGACGGTGACGACGGCGGCGGCGGCTAAGGTCGGCTGCCGGCCGAAGCGCCCGCCGTGCCCGCCACGTCGTCTCTGTCCTTGGCAGGGCAAAGCCCGAGCGGGGTGTTCCGTGTTCCGTTTCCGGTTCAATGTCGTCGTCGCCGTCGCCGTCGTCGTCGTCGTCGTCGGGCGTGGGTCGTCGTTGTCGTCGTCGCCGCCGCCATCGCCGCCGCCGTCGCCGTCGCCGTCGCCGCCGTCGGGCGTGGGTCGTCGTCGTCGTCGTCATCGTCGTCGTCGTCGTGGTGGTGGTGGTCGTCGTCGTCGTCGCTACGCGCTGCCCGCCATGTCGTCCCAATCCTGGGCAAAGATCGGCCTAAATAATATTTTCCGTTTTTCGTGTCGTCTTCGTGTTCCGTTTTCCGTTGTCGGTCTGCTGGGACGCATAAGGACATCTTGGCACTGTATGTCCTCCTTGGAAGCGTGCGTCCGACACGAACATGTAGTGTAACAATCATGTAGTACATCGTTTCCCGAGCGGTCTGGTCAGAAAACGCCCACCACGGAGCTTCTACTGCAGGGCGCCTCGGCGGGCGCGTCGCCCCTGGGGGGGTGAACACTAATAGTGCTAGCATGTTTGGGTGACGCAGAATTGTTGTCTTCCCTCGTTATGCCTTCGCTCCGCCCTCGCCGCAACGCGCAGCCAAAACGGAAACGGGCCACGCCACCGTCAAAACTGTGAGCAAAAACGCAGGTGCCGATTCCGCTACGCCCCGAACCTCCCCCCGGTGCGCTCCGACTCGAACGTCGAAGCGAATCCAGCGGGGCGACGAGGGCCTCCCAGGAGGCCCCCAAACAGAGGAAAGCGTTGGAGAGGTGGCGGTATGGGCACCCAGCGTTCAGGTCGAGCCCCAGTCGATGCCAGGTTTCTTGGTGCGCTCAGGCCCTCCAGCTGCCACTAGGTGTAGGTCGGGCGTGTCCCCCTACAGTCGAATGTTGAACGAAAAATGAACAATACCCCGAGCATGTTCCAAAAGAGAAACATTTTAAAAATCGTCCCCATACTGTTTCTCGAACTAGTTTTGGATGTTCGCCCTGTAGAGGGACGTGCCCGACTCAAGACTAGGTAAGGCCACCCCTGGGGCCGTGAGCGGCCCCCGAACGAGGCTCAGCCGCCATCTGGCCCTGCGGGATCCTGCAGGACCCAGAGCGCTCGCGGAGCCCCGCTTGCGCTGGAACCCTCCCTTGAAGGCCTGGAAATCGGCATCAGCACTAACAAAGGGGTTTGCCTCAACAGGGGTAAGACGATCCTAGATTTCGGTGCTGGTGGTAACGTTTCGGCCACCCCGAAAGCCAAACTATTACCGCCATCACCGAGATCGGGATCGTCTTCCCCCAGTGGAGGCACACCGCCGATCTTAGTGTTGGTGCCAACCTCTAGGCCTGCGACTCCCCCTTCGCCCTCCAGAGCACAGCGTTGAGGTCGATCCCCAGGTCCTGAGAGTTACTGTACAACAGCAGGTTCTCGGGCTTCACGTCGCGGTGCTCCACGCCGCGCTCGCAGAGGTGCTGGAGCGCCTGGCGCGCGCTGCTGTCGCCGCCGCCACCGCCACCGCCGTCGTCGTCGTCGTCGTCGTCGCCGTCGTCGTCGTCGTCGTCGTCGTCGTCGTCGTTGTCGTCGTCGGGCGTGGGTCGTCGTCGGTGTCGTTGTCGTCTGCGACGGCGGCGTCGGCGGCGGCGTCGGCGGCGGCGTCGGCGTCGGCGTCGCATCGTCGTCGTCGTCGTCGTCGTCGTCGTCGTCGTCGTCGTTGTCAGGCGTGGGTCGTCGTCGTCGTCGTCGTCGTCGTCGTCGTCGTCGTCGTCGCTGGGCGCTGTGGGAACTCGTCGTCGTCGGGCGGCGCCGCTGGACGTCGACGTCAGGCGCCGTCGTTGGGCGCCGTCCATGGGCGTTGCCGAGAGGTAGACAGCTGAGACGGCGGAGCTCATTCTCGTCCGCCCTTCTCCCCCTAAGACGAGGCCAGGACAAGGACAAATTCGGAGGAACAAAACGAGAATATCTGAGAACCTGCGGCTCTGGAGGCTGTCTTGGGCGCCGCGGCCTTCTGGGAGCGTTCCGATGCTTTACGGAACCTCTCTGAAGCGTTCCAGAACGCTCTGAAAGAGATCTATCCTCGTCTTAGCCACGTCCGGCTCCCCCTCCCTGATCATCCCTCCTCCTCCTCATCCTGGTCTTCTACCACTTGTTCCTCCTCCTCCTCCTCCTCCTCCTCCTCCTCCTCCTCCTCCTCCCCCTCAGCCCGGCTCGGCTCAAGTTCGCATCGCTGGCTCAACCCCGTTGGGTCGCTGCGCACCGATGCCGCGGGCGACGGGCGGGCGTCGCTGCGACGTGGAGTCCTCGCGTGGGGCCCTCCTGGCCGCGCACGCTGCCAGCGGCCTGGCCACTGGTCACTCTCGCGAGGGAGTGCGGCTGCTGCGTGCGGTCGAGGGGCTGCTGCGGGCAGCCGTCGCCGCGCTCGGCGCTCTGGAGGTGGCGCCCGTGCCAGCGCCTGCAGGTGGCACGGCGGCGCCTCGGCGCCGACGGCGCCGCTGCGGGCGCGGAGGCGCGGGCAGCGCGTCGGCACCTCTCGGAGCTCCTGACGCTCGCGGCGGCGGGCTGCCGCTGGTGGCCGCGGCGGCGGTGGTGGAAGGCAGCGGCATGGCTATCGACGAGGTCCCCGACGACTTCGACGACGCCTGGGCAGATGATCTGCAGCCGCGCCCGTCGGGCCTGGGCAAGGACAAGGACATGGGCACGCCCACCATCGCCCCCGACACGCGTGCTCGTATCCGACGTGGGCCTCTCGCTGGTGTGGAGGTGTCGGTCGGCGCTGTCGGGGCTCAATACGCCGAGATCACACCCACCTTCGACGAGGACGGCGTGGTCATGCCTGGCGAGCCGTTCATTCGGGAGCTCAAGGTGGAGTTCCTGGAGCCGCTGGGGCTGGCGGGAGGTGGTGGCAGTGGTGGATGGTAGGGGGCCTCGCCGCTTTGCGAGCAGGGCCGCCGTCCATCCCCACCTCCCGCTCAGGGTGTTCGACACCAGCATGCACCTCTTCATGTTCTTCCGATCGGCCTCCTCCCGTTCCTCGGTTCGGTTGGACCGTCCACGTGCGCAATCCCTCCTCCTCCCCCTCGTTCTTCTCTTGATTCGTGGGCGGCCATCTGAAACTGCCATTGCTTCCTCAGTGCCCCTGAGGACTCTGCGGGTCAAGTGCGCGTTAGCACCAAGCCTCCCTGCTCATCAAGGGGCGACGTCGCCAGCCCCCTGACCTTGCAATCTTATGGTTCGAAGAGATCGCCCTGGCCTGTCCAGCTCCCCGTGGCATGCACTGGCTTTTCCAAAAGTCATAACTCGCTCGCAGAACAGCGGATTGTCTGTGTATCTACTTCGCGTGCACTCCCAAGACATCAACTGGTTCCCCACAAACGAAAACCGCGGACTGTTGAGAGGCCCATTTCTGGAATGGGGCGGCGCGCGGCGCAAACTCGATTTCGATGACGTCCCCCTCACGTAGTAAATCATGTTGCTGTCTGTCACATCGCCCAAACTAACATCCCTGACTGCGGTGTCTGACGCTTCAATCGCCCTCATCACTCAATGTTCTAGCGCGACCACTCTGGATTTAGCAGATATACTCACCGACGTAGAACTACCTTCTGCAACCCAACCTTCGCAATACATCCTCTATTTCCAATTCAGTGGCACATCATAGATCATGTACAAATGTTAATAGAGAGAAAAGGATACTTACTCACACGCACACATATTAATCCATACACATATAATTATATATGCATCATCTATGTAGCGAGAGAGAAGGAGAGAGCGAGAGAGAGAGAGAGAGCGCGAAAGAGAGAGAGAGAGAGAGACTGACATACAGACAACAACACCAAGTTCGCATGGGCGCTGCCAGAAGAAGCTGTCGTATCAGGTGCACGACGCAGGGCTCGAGCATGCAGCACCTTTGGCCAGAGCAGACAGTGACTGAAGGAGAACCTAGTGAGGGACGTGCTCAGGGGGGACACATCGATTTGGACTTGGCGATACGTCCCGAAAGATCGGCGATGCCTGGGCGGGGCGGGCTATTGTATGGGCGATTGGGGGTTGATGCGTCCCCCCCCTGAGTCGATCCCCGCCTATCGCTGCCCTTCATAAAGAAGGCCCCCGAAGAACCCGAGGCATGTCTCGCGCGACATGCGGACAACACCGCAGCCAGACCCCTCAACAATACATGTCCAATAGGTCGGCGATAGACTCCGACAGCGGGACCGTGCCAAGACCCCCGACGTCGTGATTTCTTCACATCGTCGACTCCCAGAGGTCTGGACCCATTCCCCGAGACCACTTTTTGGCCCTGAATCGTTTTTTCACAGTCCCGAGGCTGAACATAGTGAAAAATCTCCCGTCGCGATTTTTTTCGCATCGCGAGGAGGTCTGGGTACGTTCCTGTGCGGGATGGGCCATCGGTCCCGCATCGGCGATCCCGGGGTGGCTTGCGGTCGATGCGCTCGCCCCCGGCAGTGCCCCGTGGCCTTTGGGTCCCGACTCGGATCTCCAGCGGCCGCCGATGACGATGCGGGCACACCCTGACCACCTACCTGGCCACCCCAACCAAACCCGAAGACCCAAATTTCGGGTTGGGGGGGGGGAGGGTTCCGCATGTGTTTTTGAATGATGTTCCACGACGCCCCCCGAAATGGAGGGCAGATTGTGGCCTTCGGGTGGAGTTGGGGGGGTTTGGTGGGTGGTGACACCCGGAGCGCTCTCGGCGAGGCGCAGCTGATGGGAGGCATCTCGAGGAAGCATACCCGCTTCTTGCCTCGGCTCTCCGCTGGTGCATGCTTCCCCGTTGGTCCACTCACCGCAGCCGTTGGCACGGAACCGACAATTTCGAAACGAGTGCCCGCGCGCGGATAAGACAACGACAACTCTGTCTGCCGAATTGCCTTGATACCGTCTATCCATCTTGGGCAGGAGATGCGGAATCGAATCGATAAATCGGATCGGCGATCGAAATTAATCGGATCGGCGAAAATCGGCAGCGGTCGGGGAAAGTCGAATCGGCAGAAATCGCCAGGCTGGTATGCCTCCAATGAGAAATCGGAACCCAAATCGAAATCCCAAGTCGAATCGAATCGGAATCGGAAGCCATCGAAGTCAAATCGAACCGAATGTGAGGAATCGAAACTGGCCCTGTTACGGCCGAGAACCGACGAAGACGTTGCCCCTGAGATTGGGGAGCCGTCCGTGGGGACGGCAGCAGCGGCAGCTGCAGTGCCCCACAGCACCGTGGTGGACTGGACCGGCACCGGCTTGCTTGCTGGGCAAGCGACGCTTCCTTCGCTTTCTGCTTGAACCGCCCGGGTCTCGGAGGGGGCACGCTGGGCCATCGGCAGACCGCTGCTGCTCGTCTCTCGTTTGCCAACTCGCGAACAACAATTCGAAGCACTTGAAACGCAGACTGCCCGAACACCAGATCTTTACGTGCACAAGCTGTCGAAAATCCGCGCGGATTTCTTGGGTCGGCGCCAGCCGATTTTGTCCGCACGTGCCGTCGACAGCTTGTGCTCCTGCAGCCTTCTGGTGTTCGACCTTCGCCAGCTGCGTCACCACATAAGGACCAATGTATGAAGGATGCCCTGCCAGCGTCCACAAAGGGGTGGCCAAAGGGGCCTGGGATTCTGAGGAGACGGCGGGGCTTTTGGCTTTCAAGAAGGCAGGCAAGGGGGCTTCCTAGAAACCCGCACGGCTTCGAAGAAACGTTCTCGGAAGGCTCCAGGCGCTTCTGAGACGGGCTTGCCTTTGCCTTCAAACCAGCCCATCCGCCTTCTTAGAAGGCCGCCACCCTCGCGCCGCCCCCTTGCGGGCGCCGCCACATGTAAACTTTGGGGGCAACGCCAATGGTTAGGTCGGGCATGTCCCCCTACAGGCGGGTTTTACAACAAACCAAGCATCCCCCCAACATACCCCAAACTTCAAAACATACCCTCCAAATGCACCCAAATGGTCAAACATGAAGAACAATCGTCCCCTGACTAATTCTTGGTTGATATTAAAAATAGAAAAGACTTAGAAATATACACATGACATAAGCCTATGGGAGCCATGCCCCCCGAGCAATGCACCATGTTCTCCAAGACGCTGGCCCCGCAGGGCACCGCTCACTCAGCTGCTGGCCCTCGCCGCACAGGAGCAAGGCCAGCACGAGACTGGTAGAATTAGGCCGGGTATGTCCCTCTGCAGGAAAAATATTCAAAAAAGCAATAAAAAATAAACGGGGGACGATGCTTCGACTAATTCTGTCAATTGTTGAATACTTTTTGAATTGGACAGGGCATGCCACTCTGCAGGAGGAACACTCAAAAACAGTTTACAACTAGTCGGGGGACGATGTTTCGACTTTTCTGACAATGTTTGAATAGTTTTGGGGTGTGTTGTATTTTTCGTCCAAACTCCGCCTGTAGGGGGACATGCCCGACCTCATGGCAGAGCTGAGGAGGAAGGGGACGCTGGTGCGGCCTGAGCGCGTGGCCATTGCCAATGCCCCCCCTCCCCCAGGACCCAGCAGCTAAGCTCCTGGGGATGCCAACCTCCTCCTCCATTCCTTGTCCTTATAAAAGAACTCCTCCCTGTCGCACCCCGAAGCCAGTTTTTAGGGCGGGCCGGGCGTTTCGCCTGAGACTTCCTCACCATTTATGACTCTGAAACTTCTTAAAAAGTGTCAACCGTTTCACAGATGGTGGGCGGGTGGTTTTCAAAATATGGCTCTCGCCTTGACGCCGCGCACATTCGTTTTAAACATTGCAAGAGTTTCACGGATTGAGAGCGGTTCATTTTTCAACATGTGGCTATCGCATTAGCGCCGCGCACCTTCGTTTCTAATCATTTGCAAAAGTTCACGGGTTGAGTTGGGTTCCGACGTGGGTATGTTACTAGACGATCCACAACAACACATGTTACTCAACATCTACAACGACCAATCTCGGACATGGAAAGGCTTTTTGGGTTGCGCGCCGGCAGTCCCAGCTGGCCTCAGAATGACCCCCGAGTAGCTCCAACTGGCCTCAACCGGCCCCCCGTACCATCTCCGGCGGCCTCAGCACCCCGAACCTGGGGCGCAGAGCGCCCCAGGGGCGCCGCTGGAGGCGGCGCCGGGGCGTTGAGACCGCCGGAGACTGCACGGGGGGCCTGTGGGGGCCAGCTGGGGCTCCTCGGGGGGCCCGTTGGGGCCCGCGGGGCCTGGCTGGGGGCGCTGCCTGTGCGCAGCCCGCAGCCTTACCAGCGCAGGCACCGCATCCTGCTCAAAGGAAGCCTGCACTGCACGCCGCGCGCCACGGCCGAGACCCCTGGTGGCCCGAGCCCAGCGCCCATGGTTGGAGGCGTACATGTCGTACACGTCCCCGCCACCGCAGTACTGGCGCGCCGGCCCCCGCGGTGGGGGGGGAGCTCTACCAGGGATGGCGCTCGGGGGGAGGCTGCGACATTGCCCTGCCCTGAGGTCCCTGGAGTGACAATCCCATCAGCCTTCTGGGCGTGGGTGGTCTAATGAACTTCTGCCGTCTTTCCTCCCAAATTCCTCCTTCCCTTGCTCGGGGGGAGAGTTGATCACTGCTCCCAATTAATCTACACCTCCTCCCCCAAGTGACCAGCAGCCAACTAGACACAACGACAAATGATCCCTGCCCCCCAACCATCCCTGTCAAATTACGCTACTGAAGAAACCCACATACTTCGATTAAACTCTTGCGCCAGCATTGCAGCTGGGAGTCATACGTCGATCATACTGCTTAACGCGGCGACCACGTCGCGCGAAACAACAAAATGAGGTCCTTGACGGCCGGTGCTCAAGATGAACTGCTCGTCTGGCTGCACATTCTTTGTGCCATTTGACCGCCTTGGTATCCGCGTGGGAGAACAGGCGCTCAGGGACCACCCCATGCGAGCTCCATCTGGTGTCGAGAGAATGCCACGCCTGCCACGCTCTCCAACCCTGGCACGCATAGGGGCCGCGGTGAGAGACCACCCCCAGCGCACCCTCTCTGGTGTCGAGAGAGTACAAAGCCTGCCACGCTCGCCGACCCAGCACGCACAGAGGCCGCGCTGAGAGACCACCCCCGAGAAAGTGCCACGCCTGCCGCGCTCTCAGACCCTGGCACGCATAATGGCTGCGGTGAGATACCCACCCCTGCGCACCCCTCTGGTGTCGAGAAAGTGCCACGCCTGCCATGCACTGCGAATCCTACACGTATGTCTTGTAGAGGGCGCCTCATGTGTATATGATGCGTGTGCGACCGTATCTGGACGTGTGTCTCATGTGCGTGCCCAGTATGTGGTTCAAACGTCTTGGGTTTATGAGACAGTGAACACGCCATGCGCGCACTGGCGTCGCTAGTGTTTGTGTGTGTGCGTGTGTGCATGCGTGTCTTGTGTCGTGTGTGTCTTGTGCATGTGTATGATGTGTGTGCGGCTGTATGTGGACGCGTGCCTCAATGTGGTGATGTCTGCTGCGTGTACGGCTGTATGTGGACGTGCGTATCATGTGGATACCGTGCGTTGAATCGTGCTGCGTATGCCTCTGATGTGTGTGCGCGGCTAGTGCGTGCGTGCACGTGTGCGCATGCCTTGTGTGCGTGTTTGATTGCGCGCATGAGCGTGGAAGAGTGAAACGTGGGTGGGACGCGGGTGGGAAAAACACAACCCCACTGAGCACATGTGGGAAACAATACAAACACACACTCTGCCTCCAAATTCGGAGCCTGCGCAACCGACCCGATGCGCCCCCCCCACCATCCCCGTCAAAAACAATATAAAATACAGTTTGGTGAAACATCTTGAACCATGTTCGTGAAGCCCGCGGGCACTTCGTATTGTTGTTTGAAAGGGACGTCGGGGGTGTCAGCATATTGCCAGCTGCGCGCAGGGCCACCATCCCTGTCACCAAAACACCAAAATGCA